TAAAGACACGAAACTTTGACTTCAGTAACCTGTTACAAGTAAACATATCACCCAACCCAAACCCTTTTGATACTCGGACGAAGCTCCCGTGTGGAGGACTTCGCTTTTCGATTTGCGACCTAGGCTTTTTCATAGCCCCATCCTATGGGGCATCTGACATCTATTTTTTTAGTTGGTACAAATACACACACACACACACACACACACACACACATATATATGTATGTATATATATATATATATATATATATATATATATATATATATATATATATATATGTATATGTATGTATATATATGTATATATATATATATATATATATATATATATATATATATATATATATATATATATATATATATTAGATAGATAAATAAATATATGGATGTGTATATATATATACACAATACACACACACACACATATATATGTGTGTGTATGTGTATGTATATATATATATATATATATATATATATATATATATATATATATATATATATATATATATATATATATATATAACTGGATGTGAAAGTATCTATGGAAGACAGCTGTCTCCAGCGAAAAAGTTACATTGTTCAGGTAGATTTCAGTGCGGTATTCGGCTGTGATCGCTCTATCTACGAGATGCCTGTTGGTCCCCATAGTCTCCGAGATTGAAGATTTCTGGCTTCTGGTATCAATGCTTGTTAGCACTTGCTGGAGAATCCTCCAGAACTGTAAGGTTTACCAAAGAGCCAAGTTCTGTGGAATTGACCAAAAACTGGTAATAGTTACACTTTCAAACCCCATGTCCCTCCAGTGTTCACCTTAACGGGGTGGGGGGGGGGGAGAGTGCCTCGTAGGTTCACTGTAGCTATCTCTGATCGATTCGCAGTAATCAAAAACCTAATGAACCCTGTAGCGCTGTGTGACTCCAGATGTGAAATTGGAGACCACAGAAGCGTATCGTGTGCCTTATATGAATGGCGATTAGGGATTGCGACGTTTTTTGGTGCGCAGGATGCTGTTGAGAAGGGGCAGGGAACAGTATATCATGAATCTTGCTGAGGAGATTGAAGGCCATTTCTTAGTAAGTGATCTTCGCCCCGCCTACCAAGCCCTCCTCGCAGGTGACTGCACTCTGCTCAGTGGATGGATGGAAAATGTAAGATCATTTTGGCGTTCAGGAATGTTGGGCTGAGTATTTTGAGCAGCTGTATCAGCTTGACCCAATAGCAGTTAGTTTGGAGTGGTGTCACAATCCCTTTGCCGGATCCACTCATCAGCAAAGAACCACCTATCCTGACAGGTTAGGGGGGTTAGAGCTTTCTAAGCTGAAAGATGGTACTGTACCATCCTGTACCATCCCCCCTAACTTGCTGAGGGGTGTGGTCATCCCTCTTGGGAAGGAGGGAAGGGATTGTTGGGTCTGCAGTAAATGTGGCATCACACTGCTCAGCATACCAGGCAAGGTTCTCCCTCACATTTTTTTCTGAAACGGATCTGAGACCATCTACTGAGGCATCAGAGAAATCTGGATTTACCTCTGTCCACAAGTCCACAATAGACAATATCTTAGTGCTTCGAATCACTGTGGAACTCTGTAGAGAGTTTGGTTGTGAGCCATTTGACTGGTACTGGTACTGAATGTGCTGTACAAATTAATGGTGGCATGTAGAGCTTCTTTCCTGTTAATTCAGGAGTGGGTCAAGGCTGTATTCTCAGAATCACTGTGGAGCAGCACTTTTGCATTGCATTTTGCAATAAGTTGAAGACCTTGGGATTAGAGGTTTCCTGGACAAAGACCAAGATCCAGGATTTCAGGGGCCAGATTAGGACATCGAGGTCACTGAGAGCTTTACATATCCTGGTAGTATAAGTCCTGGGCTGTCAGGCCAGGAAGTCAGTAGGCGGACTGGCCTGGTAGCAGGTGTCATGAATTAAGTCAACAAGAGTATTTAGAGATGTCGATAAGTGCAGAAGGACCAAGATAACATGTCTTCAAGGCCATGATACTGCCAGTTTTGCTGTATGGAGTCGCAACTTGATCGGATCATGGGGTACAATTAGCAGGACAGATGACTACACTCATAGCACTTGTTACTTGTACAATCCAGGACCACCAACTCATGCTAAACAGTCACCTAGTTCGTTTTTATTTTGATGAACCTGCCCATCAGGTTATCTCTTCCCAAGGCAGTCCTGGGCGAAGTAGGCCTGTGGGAAGCCCTTGGAAGTTGTAGCTCAGGCAGACTGATTGATTGATTGATTATTTTAAATTATCTGCCGCGTCAACAGCTAAGGTCACTAGCGGCGAACACCTTGTTAGACTGAAATATTAAAATATTTAAAACGTTAAAAAATTATCAATAAATGTCATGCTATGTCACAATCCTCCCCCAATACATTTTTCAGTGTATATGGGGGAGACAAGTACCTTCGTCTTTGGTATGAGAATGTTGCACATCTTTCCACTATATGTGCGACCGTTAATGGCTCTTGGCATCCCTCACAGCGTGCTTCACTCTTAGCCATCATCGGCCCATGAGTCAGTCGTGCGTGCCCAATTTTCAGCCTTGTTAATACAACTTCAGTTGGCCATCTCTAATCTCTTGTTTATTTCTAGAGGTATGCTTCCATCGTTCCCTCCATTTATCACGAAGACAACAACAAGAGTTTCAAGTCAGTGTGTGGGAGAGGAAAACGAGCTGAGCGGCAGCTGCCTTGGCCTTCTGATCAGCTCGCTCATTCCCACTGATACCAACATGTGCTGGCAGTTATCTTTTTACGTGCTGACATCAGTGCAAACCAATCTTGAACTTCCCTCACCAATGAATGTGATGAGTGTAAGCTCTTGATTGCTTGCAAGGCACTACGAGAGTCACAATATATTACAACAGAATGGTTTGTAAGATCTCTACTCATCTTGACTGCTGCAAGGATGGCATGTAACTGCAGTGAAAATCGAGGCTGATCGAGAAAGACTGCCAGATGCAGTCTTCCTTCTGCTCAATGCTGCAAAGCCAACACTATTTTCAGATTTCGAACCATCTGTATGTATTGCATATGATCCCTGGTACTTAGAAGTGTGTTGAAGAAATATCTCTCTGACTTCTGCCTCGGATCTCTCCCCTTCCCCAATTCCGACCAAATCTAGCTCGACTTGATTAGTCCAAGGGGGGACCTGGGAAGCTCCAACAGCCAGAACCTTTGTGAGATTTAAATCAAGATCTTCCACAAGATTCCTATCCTCAAGTGGGTTGAAAACTAATCTAGATGTAGGAGATCCCGGAATCCTTTGTAGTCTCGTGTAGTAAATCAGGTTCATGTAGTCCCGGCGTAATGAAAGAGGTGGTTCTCCACTCTCAGCATACAGGGACTCCACAGGTGAAGACCTGAAAACCCCTATACAGATTTTCAGAGCTTCATTATGAACCGTGTCCAATATCCGGAGAACAGTGGGAGTTGCAGATGAATAAGCCTCACATCCATAGTCGAGTTTACTACGAATACGTGCTTGGTAAAGTCGCAGAAGCGTTGTGCGGTCGGCACCCCAAGATAGGTGTGAAAGAACCCGCAAAATACTAAGCGCTTTTGTAGCTTTCACCTTTAATTGTTTAATGTAAGGCACCCATGGAAGCTTTGAGTAAAAAATTAGACCCAAGTACTTTACCTGTTGGACAAAATGCAGTGGGTTTACTCCTAAATAGAGGGAAGGATGGACCTTTCCTCGTTTGTGGAAATGCATGGCCATGGTCTTGCTTGGAGAAATTTGAACCCATGGTATGTTGCCCATTGCACAACCTGATTTATTGCAGTCTGAATGTGTCCTTACACATCCTGTAAGCTTCCTCCTGAGCAGTACAGTGTAATCGGGCAGGCTGAGCAGACCTGTAGCAAGGAGTTATGAGATGGGCCGAGAGCCTGACTGGCAGCTCATCATGGGGAACCTTCATGGTTGGAAGCGAGGGGTGGATGAGGCTATCATCATCAGCTCTTTTAATGATGGTTAATAGTTAGTGGTTACAAAGAAAAATAAATGCCATATAGCACCACAGAAAGGAGTAATAGTGAAAAAGATAAAAAGTCATTTAGCAGTTCAGGAAGGTAGGGATTAACAAGGGTGCTTAAATGAGTATTGTAAAAGGAAGAAGTGTGGAATCTTGAAAGGATGTCCATAGGATTAGGTTGGGATTACCAAAGGAGAAAGGGGTTTAAGGGCAATTAGACCACAGTTTCGTGGAAAAAGTCAGGAGGGAGAAAATTCAGGGAAGGGAGCTGTTGCGACACAGGTCACAGGTGTATCCAGGGGGAAGTAATAGGGAAAGAAGGGGGTAATGCAGATGAAGAAGGGGGGAATAATGATGGATGTTGGCAGTTATTTTGAGTGTAGAAGGAATGGGAGCAGAGAGATTGGGAGATGGATAAGGTGTAGGCATGTTATCTTGGGTCATGATTAGATAGTTTTGAATGTCTCTGAGAGTTTCTGCAATGGAGCTGAGTGGGGAGGTCTTATGAGGGGGAGGAGAGGGGATAGATCTTTGAGGGGTGGAGGTAAAGGATAGGGTAGAATATAGGGTGGAGTGTTTAGCTTGTCTTGTGCGAGGAGGAAGGAAGGTAGGTACTGGGGAAGTAGTGATTGGAGTGTCTGCAATAGCGGTGATGATTGGGGAGTCTGGAGTTAGAGTGACAGATGAATATGACTGGGATATGGTAGGGGTAGAGTTAGATGAGGAAACATCTTGGGAGGAAAGGGTAAGAGTAGAACAAAGAACATGAGTAGGGGGTGAGAGAAAAACTTCGTGGATGTGCTTCCTGTCTGGCTTTGCATGAAGTGAGGCCAAGTTTCCATCTCAGAACTGCCACTTCAGATTCAAACTTGTAGGTAGGGCAGCCTCTATAAAATACATTATTGTAGGCGCCACAACTGGCACATGTGCATAACTATGCAGAGCAGTTTGATCGACTATGACCATGTTGGGCACATAGAGGGCATTGGGTTGTGGAACGGCAGTGT